AAACTCCCCTGCATGTCCAAGAACCCACTGTGACTCAGCCATTGCAGTCACTGGGAACTCAGCACAGACACCCTTTCTAGCAGGGTATTTCTACTTCTCTTTTTGCACCATATCAAGAGAGGCTCTATTCATCCATGGAGGAAAAAACCTGACAATATGGCCCAATATTTTTGTTGTCTTAAAGTAATGATCTTATTGTAGAAAATCAAGGCTGCTGGAACTTCCTGTGAAACTGTCAATGACCCATGCCTGTAAAACACCTGTCTGCTTGGATTCTTGTTAGATCTTCATGTGAAAGTTCTTAGGATTTCTGCTAACAGAGTTTAAATGGCTCTTACCTGTATCTCTTGGCGGCCTGAAGGTGAAGTTTTTATTGCTTTCATTCTGCGTGCAAGAAGACTGAAGAATGACTTTTTTTATTTTAAAGAGTGTAAATATGCTGAATGGGTGGGAGATGATGAAGTACTTGGTTATAATGCGTTTTCTAATGTACGTACTGTTCCTTCAAAGAGTTAGCATCTTCAGAAAGATGATCCATGCTGGAAGAAGCCATGCCCTTGGCAAAATAACAGCAAGAGCAATGCTGAGTAGTTTCTAGGTCAGCAGCATCTAGGGTCTCATCTGCCCAAGAATACTTGAAGCTGTCAGATGTCATCCCTCTGGATTCATAGCTTTGATACTTCTCTGTCATTTAAGATAACACTTCCTTTAGTCCATTTTGAACCTGTGCAGATGGTTGCCTCTGTGTGCAAAACGTTCTGTACCTGCCAAGCTTTACACTTGGCATTGGCAATTAGTAAAGCAAATCTGAGAGATTTGCAGTTCCCATCAGCTAAGCTAGATTGGGCTGTTCTGTTTTCCCTTCCTTATCCTGTGCAGTATTTGTTCTGTTGCTTCTTTTTTTCTTCTCTCATTTCTAGCCTGTCTCATCTCCTCCAGCTCACATTCTTATTCCTAATTCTTCTTTTTTTCTTTTTTTTTTTTCATCCTGTGTTAGTCTCAGCTGATTCTGTATTGGCTTCTTCCACAATTCTGCTTGGACTCTGTCCCCACCTGACCTTTCTCTGCATGAACAAATACCAGTGTCCCAGATTTAAAAATTTTCTCCACTCTGCTTTTCTCTGCCTTCCAGCCTGTTGTTTATTAATTGCTTCCTGAACTTCCTGCTTGATACCCTTTTACTCTTCAACACTTCTTTTACTTTCAACATGCTCTCTGTCTTTTACTTTCTTTCTCTGTCTCCACTAACGTATACTTCAGACAGTTTTGGTTTTTGTTCTGAGAATTACCTACCTTCTCCAGTTTTCCATTTAGTATCTGAAGCATATCTGTGGTTCCGTTACTGAACTTCTTTCTGGGAAGCGCAGGCTCCTCGTACCTTGACTCATGTCATCAACATTTAAGTGGATTCATTTTTTTCTTGCAAATTGGAGGTTGGACTCGATGATCTCTGGAGGTCCCTTCCAACCCCTACGATACCCAAAACGACCCACTTTTATCCTCTTTTCCTCAGTCCCCTCCAGTAGGTCACACAACAGTGCTGTGCAGTTCATTGTGTTTGATGAAAGCCACTACAGAGTTGCTGCTTCTCAGACAAGAAATCTTTTGCTGCTCTCACAGCTGTGACTTGTGGAGGGTTTGGTATGTTTTGAAATGCTCCAATCTCAAAAGCAAGAGTCAGGGTTTTCACCTAGAGCCCCTGAGGAGAGGATACCAAGCTGGCACCGGGAAGGAGCAGAGGGATGCAGCGGTTGGCAAAGGACAGTGAGAAGGGAGGGAGCACTGGGAGTGCCTGGCTCCTGGTTGGGGGCCTGAGGGCAAACACTGCCAGAGCCCTTGTAGCTCAGCACTTCTATCAGAAATACAGTGATACAGACTGTGAGCACAGTACATCTGCTTCCACGCAGAAATTCTAATTTCCGCATTTTATTTCACCGAGTGACTCGAATTCTACTTCTCCTCTTCCCCCATACACTCCTTTTTTAAGTATATTAGCACTTAAGGAAAATTTCTGGGCCACGTGGGTAGCAGTCCCAGTACCCCACAAGCACAGAGCGGCTGCCGAGATCCTGCTTTCTGAGAAGAGCTTACCAGAGCTTAACAGGTGAGCAGGCAGAGCCTGGGCTGCTGCACACTGCTGCACCCACCTGCATCCGTGCGAGGCGCAATGACTGCTGCTGTGCTGGGACGGCCCTCATGTCGGCGAGGCAGAGCATCGCACCGTATCAGCCGTGGTGAGTCACCTGCAGCCTCTGCTACCGCTGGGGTGCATTTCACTTCAGGTTACTTTAGGGCAACATCACTGTCAGTATTTCCTTTACTAGAATCTGGAGGCACAGAGATGAAAATAATTACCTCTGCCAGAGTCATTAAAACTGGCAGCTGGTTCCCAATAGAGATAAAAGAATCAGATTTTGAGTGGCACTCAGCAGTTCCATTCAACTGCTCACTGTCTTCATAAGAAATAATGAAGTTGTGAAATTCCCAAGTATTCAAGCATGCACCTGCCTGCACTTTTCTTCTGAGTGAATGGAAACAGAGCAAAGAAACAGGTTTGGGGGCAATTAACGATGAAATAAAAGGAATTCTGCCAGAAGACTAGCCAGCTCATTTTTAATTTGTGGCACTGTGGCATGTAGCTTTAACTTGGAATGGGCTTCTTTACACCATGACCCTCAATTACATGCACTCTTTTGAACTCACCATATTGTAAGGTTGCCAGTTTAAAATTCCATGTGGCTTAAAATAATTCAGTAACAGTGCTGCAGTGTTCTGAGCCCCTGGATGACATGTCATGCCTTTCAACCCACAGCTCTGTGATGGCTTGGAAAACTTTCCATCTTGAGCTTCCCTCAACGTCTTCCTCTGTTCTTCTCTTGTACATATGTTGAAGTAGTTTGCAGGGACAGATTTAATAGGAACTGGAACTCAGATTTTCAAAGGAATTAGGAGAAAAACCTTCTCTTGTGCACTGTGCCTGTCAGCTATAACTGAAAGGGCTTTCTGGTGAAATAGGAAAGCCACAATGAAAAGAAAGGGAAACAAAGTTAACCAGAAAAACACTCAAACTGTATTCTGTCTGTTTATATTTGTGTCTCTTGTTCACAGGAAGTTCTGCTTTAATCTTTAATACTATGCAAGTTCCTATAAAAGTCAGTTTAGTTATAATATTGCTCAGTTTCCAAAGAAATCACTTGGATTTGTATTCAAAAAAAACTTGCTGGCAAGCCCCCTCTGCTGGATGGAACCATCATGTTTTCATCCCTGCATGCTGAAGACATCCAGTAAAAGCATTACAGCTCATTATTGACAAAATAGTTACAGGCTGAGTTCAGAAGAACATTACTGCCTTTCTATTACCTGTCATAATGACAGGGTGGAGATTCAAATAAGAGTTGGGGTGGTCACTGCAAATATGTTCAGGTCCCTACATCTGAATGAGTATTCAGTCAGTCTGTCATCTCACTATTTTATCATCTAATTTCTCCTCAACTGCGTCCACTTTCTTCACTCCCATTGCTTTCTCTTATGTATTATTTACATCTTTTGCCAGTGATCTCATTGCATGCAATCAGAGTGTACTTATATAGTATGCCAATACAGGAAATAAAAAAAACTATGCATCCCAGGAGTAGATATGCTTTTCCATAGCAATTCAAACTTTGAAGACCTGCTTTGCTTGTCTCTAAGTGTGACAAACTAAGCTCACTAGGTGAAAAACAATACTAACTGCTGGTTAAACCATGCTTTTCATTTGTGTATGACAAAGCCTTTTGCAGGGGCCATTTTTTTAATTACAGATTGGGAAGCAGGCCCGGCAAGGGAAGACAATCTAGTCACTTGAGTCCTAATCAGAACTAAAAAGACATGGATTTGAGCCCTGTTCTAAAACAGACTGGCTGGTGACCTTATTTTTATTAATTAGGCTAAAAGCCAGAAAAGAGGATTGCCACAACACAGAGATAGAATTGTGAAGCTTCTGAGATAAGGCATTGGACCAGTATGGTCCTCTGCAGTGTACATGGAGAGCTGAGTTTCTCGGAAAGCAGATCCAAAGTAGCCGGCATGCCATGCTAACAGCCAGTAAGGAATTACTGCCTACAGAGGTGTGTGTGAAACATTTCTCCCTCTTGAGCTCACACACATTAATCAAAGGTTTAGAGAGTTCTGTTCTTCAAAATCAGGTCTTCGAAGAAAGGCAGTCTTTAAAAAATCAAGCAAACTGAGAGAATATTGCTGGGGCAGGTGATCAGTATATGGAAAACTGAGATTTCTTCTCCACTTAGCATGATGACAGTCAAACTTTGAGTCCTCCCCTTTCTGGAAGGTGTCCTAACTGCTAAGCAGAGTTCTCTGCTCAATGAAAGGGAAGGAGGAATATTTGTTAGCCAAGGGAGACTTGGAGCCTAATAGCTTGAGCACTCACCTATGAGTGGGAAATACTGAATTTCTGGTGTCTCCTCTGAGTCCTGTTAAATACTGTTCTTTAAGCAGTTATTAGATAAAGTACGTAAGTGGTTTTTGAAGTTGAGCCAGGACTCAGTGCCTCATCTCTCTCAAATCAATGCCTAAACCTGCAGGCTTAAGGGAAAGTCCCATTCTTTCTGTCTGTAGCTCAGTGGCTCTAGAATGCCTTTTTGAGCACTAAAGTGAATTCACAAGACCATAGAGTGCTTACTTCTATAGGCTTGTGGGAAGGTCATCTCTTCAAAATGAGCTTGACAAGTATGTGCTTGAGTCTCTTGGTGACAGGAAGGGATCTAAGCCTGAATTCTCAAGTGATCTCACTGGTCAACTACTGGATAAAACTGGTGGATCTAAAAGATGATTGAAAGAAAATGTTTCTAATGAAGACACTGAAGGGATGAGGGTTTTTTTCAGTTTGCTAAAATAGTGACAATTGTCCTATAAACATCAAATTGTAGTAAAGAATTTTAGTCAAAGAAAAGCATAATGCATTTGTGTCTTATGTTAATACTTTGCATGTAATTGTATTTCAGATGAAAATGTGAGCTAAAGTTTCCTGGAATATACTGTAAGTACCACTCGTATCCTAGTGAGTTTAAATGAGTATTCAGTCTTAGCTACAGTAGCCAATAAATGCTAAAATTAACAGCAGGTTTGGCCCAGAAAGAAATTCTGGGGAAGTTAAAAAACCGAACTTGTGCTTAGAATTTGTATCTAACCTCTGCACAGGACCAAGGCTGCTGCTGAAGTAGAAGTAGTCCTAGTTATGCGTTTGCAACGTTTTGTGAGTGCAATATTTCCTGTCTGCAAAATATGCAGCTGCACTGCCTCCCAGGTTTTAAGTCATCTGTTTCTTGATAACTGCAGCAGAGTGAAAAAGATATTTTATTGTAGGGTCTGTGAGCAATGAAGGAAGAAAAGAAAGAAAGAAAAAAAAGACGCAAGAAATACTTCATTTCCAAGCAGAGCATAATCACAGACTGCTCTGTAGTGGGGAGAGGGGAGCTCTCCTTCCTCCTGAGGCATTTGGCCAAGCTTAGACAAAGTTCAGAGCTTTTGTGGTTTGCAATTGCGTTATAGATGTCTCATCTCACCTTCACAGGAACCTTGTATTTCCATGATCACAGCTAACCTGCTTCCACAGAGGCCAAACTGCATCAGTTCAAGCTGTAGCACTTGATAAAATCTGGGAAGGGGAGGCAGCAGCTCCCTTCCACCAGAACAGGATAGACAGCCAGGGCTTGCCTGCATGGAACCTGCCCCTTCCCTTTCTCACCTTCTGAAATGCACAGTCTGCTTACTTATAAGCTGCCACAAGAAGATAACACATTTGAGCTATTAAAATGAGGTGCTGTACGTTTAGACACTTGTAGATAGTATAACTGTGAATGAAACACAGCAAATGAAAACCACGATGGAAACTCATTGTTCAGTACATGCTTGGATGAGAGATGGCTACTGGGAAAAATGAAAGCATTTCTCCTAAAGCATCTGTTGTTTTACACTAATGAAACAACAAAGCAATAATAAATCCTCTCCTACTCATGTACCGGGAATTTCATGCAGCTTAATGCATGATTACAGATCAGAGATTTCAATTTCAAGATAATGTAAATTGCAACTTGCAAAACATGCAAATTCCTTTGAATTTAAGAACAGAAACTTAAGCGTTCCCCTCATTGTAAGAACAACACAGCTCTACCTCTCTCCTGACTTTGCAAGTCTTTGCAATTATTAGTGAGTAACACTCCAGAGCTGTGTGATAAAGATTACAGAAGTGCTGGTGTAGCTATAGTTTTAGGGTGGGAAATGCAGTCTTTAGATAGAAATAATCTGTTTTACACATTAATTTTGCAGGGTGAATTTAAAAAATACTCTAATTACTTTCAGTTCCATTTCCTTTGGTTTGAATTTGTTTTCCCCAGCTGATGTGTCCAGCAAGAATGCAGGATGATACAATTACATTTGTAATAAACAGAAGAGAAAGCAGCTTCAAGCAAAAAGGGCATTCAGTGAACACTGCCACCTGTGAGTAAAATGTGCCACTATTTAAATGCTCACTCCTATGAGTATGAACTTTAAGCTTTCTTAATAAGGACTTTTCTTCCCAGCCTTGATCCTGCAAGTTACTTAAAACCAAGAATGGCTGAGCTAGCCAATGTTTTTTATGACCTCTATATACATTATATATGTTGAATCTAACCCATATACAAATACTTAATTTTACCAGGAGAATTGGAACTGGGAAGTGATTGGGGCCAGCCCGCTCACATTTTAAAAAGTCTGCCCTGAAATATAAGTTCCTTTAATCAGCATGGTTAAGTCTAGTTAACAAAATGGTTTTCCCCATAGTTAGCAATGGAGGGGAAAAAAAAAAATAGGGCCTGGAGACTATTTTTGGCACCCAAAGGAGATGTTCACCCAATTACTTGACATACAGAAGTGAGTGTAAAATGGACTGCATCAATTAACAGAGTGTGAAAGCCCTACTGACTGCACTCCAGCCTCCTTTGTCCCACTGGTGACTGCTGGGGTCCTCATGGTCTGAAGTGGACCAAAACCCCTGAATTCCCAGCAAAGGGAGGGTCAGTGGCACCCGAATGCAAATAAAGCAGGGTCTCTGTCAAAGTATAGGTTAAAACAGGAGAACACAATTCGCCCTCTGCTTTAACGTTTATGTAAACGATGAAAGTGAAAATACCTTATCTACAAGGGAGGTTTGCTAGTAATTGCTGTATTGTGTTTTAAAAGAATCAAGATACAAGTATAGCCAAAATACAGAGATATATGGACATGAAAAGGAACCAGTCTGCACCTTTCACTTTCACCCTGCACATTTCTCGTAAATGACCCTGTAACTGGTAAGGAAGCCTTCACAATCTGATGAACTTTGCCTTGCAAATCCAGGGCTGTCTGCTGTGCTTTTCTGAAGTGTCTGCTGCCTGAGCTTCATACCAGCTCAAGCTGTAGCAGGGCTACAGTTCTTCAAATGTTCCTCAACAATATTTGTAATTATTTGGATAGAAATACTTGATGTTTGAACTATCAAAACTCCAAAGGTGCAAGTAAAAACATACTCACATCTTCATGCCTGCTCTGCAGTCACTTCATGCTGTGTGACATTTCCAGATACCATTTACATGAGCTGATGTTTCTTATTTGGCTCTTAAAGTATTGACAGTTTCTATTTGGAGTAAACAAGCACTGTTACATTTTGCAACATAATTCACTACTGCAAGTGTGGTTTTGTGGGCTCCTCAGGTTTTGAAAATAATGCATCCTGATTTTGCCTTTATCATCTTTTCGTGACAAGCTGAAAGCTTGCTAATTTACTGGCTTCAATATATTTGAATTCCTGAACAATCATCTTCTGATTTCTCATCGTCTTTGAGTTTCAAGTCCCAGTTTTGTTATTCAGTTTAGAAGGCTGCTAGGTGACAAGCTGCCTTTAGCTTCGTAGAAAACCAGTGCAGACTTGTTGGAGATGCTCTGATCTCAGAGCAAAATTTGCTTATTTAAGGAAAGTCACCATGTTTAGTTACTTAGATAATAACTCCATGATTTAAAAAAAAATGTTTCATTTATACTCCAAGATGGGGATACAACTACAAAATATTGGCTAAAACACATAGAATAGAGAGGGATATTCACTTTTTCTACAAATTTTCAGCGACCAGAAAGCATGTAATACACAGCTGACTGCTCTGCTTGGCTGTGTGAGCTGGGGTATTGTAGAGTCACACTAATTATGCTCCATACTGGACTGTAACTTCACAGCCTCACTGGCCTGTATATATTTTTCTAGTATTTGCCTTATATGCTTTGAAAATTCTGGAAATAAAGTGCTGCTCTTCTGGTTGCTTTTCTTTAGGAAGATGATTCTGTTCTCACTCTCAGTGGATAAGCTGGATGCTGGCAGTAATGGCAGAACATTTACAGAAGGACTGCAGCTGTCAAGGTAGGACACTGTGATCTGTATTCACGTGCGGTGCTGATGTCTTGTTAAGCTTCTCCTGAAGATCCAATATTTTTATGAAGTGCAACGAAGTCAAAAAGTCTGAACTACTGAGGTCTTCCTAGAACTGGCTTCCCTTCAGACTGTACTAACGCCTAACACATTGGATGTCAGGCATATTTCCTGTTTCAAAAAGTTGTTTTTATGTTAATGCAACAGTTTAAGCCCATCTGGAAGCCAGCTTTTCAGATTATTTCTAAGGTGGCAAGTAGTACTTGTCAACAGTATGATTAAGATTAATTCCTTCTTTGTTCTTTAACCATGTCAGGATCCTTTTCCACAGAACATGGATGTGTTTCAGTTACTGACCAGAGCATTTCTAGCATGGAAAGGCACAAAGAGGTGACGCCCACTTCTGCAGAACATGACAGGAGCTCTCTAAACATTTCCTCTAAGAATTCTTTGTAACTGAAATGAGTCAGCTAAACTGGAGAACTTTGCAATGTTCTCATTGCCATTAGGCAATGCATGGTGACAGGAACTGGTTAAGTCTACACGATGGCCAGAGCAATTAAAGTATTTCTCATGTTAAGGCTGGCTGTATGAGCTAAGGTTTCTACCCTCTCTGCAGAGGTTCTTAAGCCAAATGCTCTTCCCCTCTGCCATACACGAGGTGCAATCCTCCACTGACTCCAATAAGGACAAGCACACATGTGTAGCACCTGTACTAGGTTCTCCAAAAAGAGCACAGGAGGGCACAATACCAAGGCTTTACTTGATAGCACTTGCCACAGAAGTTATTTCATTTTTACCTTGGAGTGACTTCCACACAGTTTTGGCAAGACATCGATATGGGAGAGCCCAGACTGTTGTTGTTGCTATTAGCAGTGTTTTGATGACAGCTCATAAATGAAGGATCTCATTGCCTTGTCCAAGTCACCCCTGAAGTGCCGCTTACTCAGAGCTACCTGCTAACTGCAGTTTGGCAGCTGGAGTCTTCCTGTGTCAGCAGATGACTTGCCTGTCTCCAGGTCATTTGAAATCAGTGGTGAAACATACTTTAGCATCTGTATGACAGTCCAGTCATACCCAAAGCATAAAAGCATAAATACATGCAGCAGGAGTTTGAGTTAGGGAGGGAAATATCTCTGATTATCAGTAGGTTAATTCCAACTCATTCATCTGTTAAAGTCATTAATTTAAGTTCAGTGATGATGAGATAGCCTAAAAAAGCCCCGAATGATGAGGGTGTTTCTCCAGGTTTCACAGAGCAGTGTGTCAGCATATCCACTCTGCATCTTTATGTGGTACAAGACAAACACCAGGAAGCCACAGAATGTTATAATCCTGGGATTGTCTCATATAGCTTTGTGTGCAGTATAAGAAAATAACATCAGCTTAGGCAGATCTCTTAAAGGTGAAGCCTGACTGCTCCTTGCCTGTGCTAGAAGTCTTGTTAGTGACTTCTCAGTAGTAGGAAAGAGACACTGAGAAAATGAAAGAAACTCTTCTGTAGACGTTAATCAATGGACTAGAACAGAGCTCTTTAAAACTTTTTCAGGTAGGATGGGAGACTCTAAAATATCAGAGACCTGGCACCTGCTGTACTGTAGACTATCTTATCTATGTGTAGTCTGACCTTTTTCTTGCTCATGCTGTGCCAGCAGCTCTCATGTGCATTTCAGCATGAGGAGTAATGTCCTTGAAGACTACTTCTTTAGAAAGCACGTGTTGTAGCAGCAGCCAGCAGACTGAGTCCTTTCTAACCCACACAAACCAAAACTCTGTCTCATCCTGCACACCCTCAGAATATGCAATCAAATTTAATCCAGTGTAATTTACAGCCTGCCAGCCACCAACTCAGAGCCTTTTCCAGCAGCGTGATGAGCTTCCTCCACTGCCACTGAGTGTGATTGCTGTGGAATCACCTCCAGAAAACACTGCCTGCTTAGGCAACAGGCATTCCTCTTGCAGCTCAGAACATGTCTCTGTGCTGAGCCAGCTCTTCGTAGGAACTTTGCACACAGTGCTGTGTAACTTTGCTTTTTACTGAAAGGAACAGATTTTCTGGTTTTGGAAAACAAATCCATTACTCAGTGTATCTTGGCAGTACTGCCCTTCTTAGAACAGTTTCTCTAAGGAAAATCTTTTAAAAGGGACCTCATGGTCTCTCCTACTTATTACACTCTTGTAGGGGTCTTGTCTTCATCTGTAAAATTAATGGCTTAATAAGCATTAGACCCTCCTATTATATGGTAGCAAATAGGAATACAATACTTTTATCAATATTTGGCACAATTATTTTTTTTATGTGAAACTAAAATATTGATGCTGTCAAGTGACTGTAGCTTAGGGGCATAAATTACAAACATTCTTCCCCAGCGAGCCCAGCTCAAATTCTGCATTCATATACAGTAACCATCTAATGTCTTTCTGTTCCTGTAAGCCATATGATTTGATTGCCAGATTACATGATTCTGTATTGAAATGGCTGTACTTGGACGGCAGTGTTTTTATTGTTATTACTAAGATTATCTTTTGTTCTTACTGTAAATGGTAACAAAACAATAACTGCTTCCTTACGCTATAAAAGGAATAAAGACCCACTTACAGAACGTCTCCAAACAGAAAATGTCCCCAGAGAAAAGACATTTGGAATAAATAATTCATGGAACAGTGGGAGAGTAGGGGAAAAAAAGGTCATTTGCTGTATTCTGGTACTTCAAACTGTTTGTTTTACACAGAGGCTGTTTTAATGGAGAGCAAGATGTGCTTTAAGGAAGAACAGCCGTAGGGAAGTCAGTTCTCTCTGCATTTGTACCCACACTGCATGTTTTGTCAGCAGCACAGAACTCTCCAAACTGAGGGAACAGTCCCCCAGATCTGCCCCATTCTTTTGCTTTTCTGTGGTTTATTTCTTCCCGTTAGCGTCGTTCTCGGCTTGCTTTCTAAATGAGACCTCAACCCGCCCACCCAAAGGAAACCACAGCATCTCAGGATTTCACATCGAAGCCAAGCAGCCCCGCCCGCCTGTGCTATCAGCAGAGGGATGGAATTGAAGGCTCCCGGCGTTCGGCTGCCCGCGCTGTCTGTGCGTCACATCACAAAGCCAGGGGCATCCTAAAGGCAGCCCGGAGAAAATCAGCATGCGAAAACGCCTTTTAAAAGCGCTTCAGTGAGGTTACAGACGGCAGAAAACAGCCTTTCTCCACCCAAGCCCCCGACCCAGCATTTACACGAGCGACTGCTTTGCTGCCGTTTCGTTTCCCGGCACTCAAGGAACTCGAGGTGCGGAAGAAACCCAACCCCGTAAGCCGCCCCAGCAGCGCGTAGCGGCTCTGCGTAGGGCGGCCCGGGACGTCACGTGACACAGCGCTCACGCCATTTGCAGCAGAGCCGCTCGCGCAGCCGCAGTGCTGCCTTCCGGCGGCGCGGCGCTTTTTCCCGCCCTTTTTCTCTCGGCGGCGCCATGGCGGGGGAGGCGCCGTCCCCGCCGCTGAAGGTGCTGGCCGCGCAGCTGCGGCGCGCGGCGCGCGACGCCGGCGGGACGTGGCGGCTGGACCGGACGGCGGCGGGCCGGGCGCCGCTGTGCGTGCGGGCCGTGTGGATGCAGGGCACCGTGCTGCAGGTGGAGCGCGGCGGCGGCGGCGGCTCGGCACGGCTGCGGGACGGCAGCGGCCCCTTCACCGTGCTGGGGGTGGAGGACGTGCCCCGCGGGCGGCCGTGCCTCGACGCAGGTAGCGCTTCCGCGGGCGCCTCGGTTCTCCTCCCGCTCGTAAAATGAAAACGTAGGGGTTAGCTGAATTTCTTCCGTGTTCTTTCAGGGAAGTACGTGATGGTGATGGGAGTGGTGCGGTCCTGCAGCCCCGAGCCGGTGCTCCGAGCAATAAAGATGACGGATCTTTCCGAAAACCCGGTGCATGAGGAGATGTGGAGCCTGGAGGTGGAGGAGCTGCACAGAGTCATCCCCTGAGCTCTGCCTGGAAGATTTGAAGTGTAATTTGTTTCTGTTTGTTTTTATGCGGAGCGTTGAGCCGTTCTCAGTGCTCACGATTTCAAACCTGTTGCCTGCAGAGTGTACAGGAGGGAAAAGTCAGGCTCAGAGTTTGCATCTTTCCTTCTGAAATTAAGCACTACTTCTTAAATGGGTCTTTAAGAGAGATCTTTACAGACTAAGGGCTGGATTTTAGAGGGATGCAATTCCATCCTTGAGTTTAATATTCCAGGCCCTGTTGGGTGCAGTTGTACAACGGAAGTCCTCTGTTGTGAGGCTTTGCTGGTGGAAATGCCAAAGCGTGTATACAGGATTTTGACACAATTTTGTACTTTGGCTTAGTGCTGGGGAGGATTCTCTTGTGGAATACTGTAGTCATTAAAAAAAAAAAATATCTGTGTGGTCATGTACTGGCTGGCAACCTTTTTCTTTTATCCAGTGATAGATGCTTTTCTATCTAAATGCTTCTCAGGTCAGAAGCCTGAAACTTGTTGTAAGTGAGCTCGTCTTATGCTTTCTAACTAGGCAGTAAAATCCTGGAAGCAGGAGCAAAAACACTGTATCATAGTGCTTGATCTCACTAAAAACATACAGATGCTAGTTCTGGCTCCCTGGGAAGCCTTCCATATTTCATCATTATGAAGTTATGAATGTTGCTTGGCTGTTGATCAGAGATCCACCTCTTAACTGAAAAAGTGCTTCAAGAAGATTTGTGTTGACATTAGTAGACACTTAGTAACTTCAGGTTTTGAAGCCAAGACAGGATGTTCTTCTAACGGTTCACTTTAGAAGTGCTTTCCTGGGAACTCAAAGCAAAAGAAGCTGAACGTTGAACTTCTGAAGAAGGGGCTTGTAGTGATCGCTGTGACTCCAGCTGAGTTTGCTTGCAGGTGGAGGGAAAGCTGTGCTGGCTGCTGCAGGGTGTCTTTGTGAGGGAGCTGTTTGGTGCTGCAGGGCCTTGTTGAGTACTGTGAATTTTCCCTTTTTCACGTCTCATGTCTCAAGTTGAGCAGTAAACCGGGGGTGTGTGCAGGGCTGTGTTGCTGTTGTGTGGCAGTGTACATAGAGGAGTTACACGACTCCTCTAGCCCTGCCTTGCAGAGCTGGGGCTCAGAGCTGGGATGTTGTTCTAGAGCTTGGTTGTTGGGACCCTGAGGAGGAGATTCCTGGAAGTGCACACTGCATTAGCGGCCGTAACTGAAACAAATCTGAGCTTGCCTGAATGCTGAGGAA